GAGGCTCCAGTACTTTGGCCATCTCATGAGAAGAAAAGAGTCCTTGGAAAAAACCTTGATGTTAGGAAGGTGTGATGGCAAGAGGAGAAGGGGACGACCGAGGATGAGATGGCTGGACAGTGTCTGCGAAGCAACCAACATGAACCTGACACAACTCCGGGAGGCAGTAGAAGACAGGAGGGCCTGGCGTGCTCTGGTCCATGGGGTCACGAAGAGTCGGACACGACTAAACGACTAAACACACACACATCAAGTCAATTCTGACTTGCAGTGACCCTTCTCCAGCATTTCTAAACAAAGAATACAGTGGTGCCCCACTTAACGATTACCCCGCTCCATGACGAAATCGCTTAACGATGAGGTTTTTGTGATCGCAATACCGATCACAAAACGATGTTTAAATAGGGAAAATCTGCTTGATGATGATTGGTTCCCTGCTTCGGGAACCGATTCTTCGCTTTACAACGATCAAAACAGCTGATTGTCAGGTTCTCAAAATGGCCACCTGCTGTTCAAAATGGCTCCCCACTGTGTTTAGGGCGGATTTTTCGCTTTACAGGCACCGGAAAATGGCTGCCCCATGGAGGTTCTTCACTGGACGGTGAGGTATTTCGCCCATTGGAAGGCATGAAGCAGTTTTCAATGCATTTCAATGGGATTTTTACTTTCGCTTGACGACGATTTCGTTCTACTGCGATTTTGCTGGAACAGATTATCATCGTCAAGCGAGGCATCACTGTACTCAGAACTGATTTTTAGTTCTCTGCTTCTGGGAGCATCCTGGGACTGTGCAGCTTGCCCAAGGCTACACAGGCTGGCGCTTCTCCCTGGAGGCACAGTTTGGGAATTGAACTCCCAACCTCTGGCTCCACAGCCAGATATCTCACTCACTGCCAGCTTGTCCAGGTATAGTAGAGCTTTAGCAGGAATTCCATTCATCTAATATCTTAACTTTGTGATAGAGCAAAGACATGAATAATGATCTTCCCCAGTTGAAAATAATTCCTACAAGTGATCTTTGGGAGTGTGGTTTTTGCCCTACGATGCACTTGTCGTGAAATGAATAATGGAAAGCACTAAAGGAATGAAGGGAAGAGGTTATGTCCCAGTGTGGAAGTGTGTGTAATAAAAGCCTGTGGGAATGAAGCAAAGAATTCTTTCATTGAGTCTGAAAACCTGTCTTGAACAAGGAAAACACCAGGATCTTCATGAATCAAAAAGAAGTCTTCAGATGTGCTGAGGACAGATTCTTCTGACCTTGCATCTCTGCCAGTGGTGTTCTCTGTTGAATGGGTCATATGTTCCTCCTGTATGTCTGCTCTTTGCCCACGGTCTTCCTCTCTCTCTCTAACCCACCTCACAAAACTATTGCGAAAGGCTAATGGGAGAGAAGCTATGTACTGAGCTCCTTGGAGGATGTTTGGAACACATAACCAGTGATGCGTGCAAGTGGTGTATGCCAACATCTTTCATGCATTCAGTGAGACAGCAGTTCACCTACTCAGAGTTCACAGACATTTGTAATAGCCTGAATCATAACACCACTCCTGAGAGCATGACAATGGGAGCAGGGAGATTGCTACCTTGCAAGTAGAGATCTAGTTCAACAGATAGATAAGTAAATGCCAAATAGAAACCAAGATCTTAGAATCTCCTCACCATTGACAAGAAGCTTCCTTAGACTGAGTCAGCCCACTTGTCCATTGAGCTCGACATTTTCTGCACTGGCCAGCAGTAGTTACCCAGGGTTTCTGGAAGGATTATTTTGTATTGTTTTGACCTGAGGTCATCTGCATGGAAAGCCTGTAATTTTCTGCCCCTCTCAAGTGACAAGCTTTGAAAGCTACTATGTCATGGAATAATAAACCAAAGCAAATTAGTTGAAAGGGATCCCACTTTCCATAAACATGTGGAACACATGGATGCTGGTAGCCCATTGCTTATTGTACCCCATTAATCAATTTAAGATGCACTGAAACTTTTAATTTTTGCAGAAGTAAAGGTTCATTGGAAAAGAGAGGTGGTTGTCTGAATCCAGCCATCATGAGCATGCTCCTATAAATATATTCTGACTTCCTTAAATGAAGGCTGCCGGTATCCAGGCAACTGAAAACTCACTATTTATGAATGCTCAAGCACTAGAAGCAATTCCTTTCATCTTTTCTACTGTAGGCGTAGGACACCACTCTGTAGAACAGAGCACTTATCTAGTCATTAGCAGTGCATTAAGCCTTATGAAGTAGGCAGACTTATCTGCAAATCAATTTTGCCAGTACAGAGAAAAGAAAAAGAAAAAAGGTGGGGGGGAGAGGAAATATACACTCAGTGATGGAGAGTTCAAGGGAATAGAAGAAGCAGACACCTCCTCACACGTTTACTTGTGAAATGAGAAATAGGGGAACAGTAATGTCTAGAAGCCACAGGCTCTTCTCCACTTCCACTTTTACACTTTCCTTCTCCACTTCCACTTTTACAAAACAGTCTCTGTGGGTGCCGTATAAAAAGAGTCCAAAGATGCTTCCTGAGAGGTAGCCTAGCCGTGCTCATCTACTACAGCACCTAAGGATGCTGATTCTTGTCCTTGAAATGGGAACATTCCTCCCCTCATAGTGCAGCCAACCTCCCTTCCCTCACCTTAGACCCTCCACTGATTCTGTGCACTTGAACTAATGCTTGTGTACGAAATTACTCCTCCCTGGACACTCAGATCGAACACACAGCTTAGGAAAAACATTACCTTTCTATGCTACAATGAAGAACGGACTAAACAGTATGGCTACCTATGATGGTGGCTGAGAAATACTGGGATTATACAGTCGAAAAAGGTACATTTCCAGTCTCTGACCCTGTGTCACTCAGGTCTTTTGCTTAGCAACACATTTCCAAGACGGGGTAAATGGCAGCAACAAAATGGCCAGGAAAAAAAAAACATATTGCCATGGACCCCAAAAACCTCTAATAAGCCCCTCCCACTGAGACAGATGAGAGCTAGGAGCTCAGTATCACCCAACTGAGGACATCTTTTAAATGTTAAAATTAAATTAAAACATTGATATAAATTTATGGAGAGAGCCTAGCATGTCTACTGGGCTCCGAGGCAGAGGCCTGTGACGGACAGGTTGACTGAAGAGCCTCCGAAAGACATCTCAGACAATCCAACTCCAGCACTTCAACAAACTCTGATGTAAGACTTCTTGTCTTCAAATGCTGGGGCTTATCAGGGACGTGGTGGCGCTGCGGGCTAAACCGCAGAAGCCTGTGCTGCAGGGTCAGAAGACCAGCAGTCGTAAGATCGAATCCACGCGACGGAGTGAGCTCCCGTCGCTTGTCCCAGCTCCCGCCAACCTAGCGGTTCTAAAGCATGCAAATGCAAGTAGATAAATAGGGACCACCTCGGTGGGAAGGTAACAGCGTTCCGTGTCTAAGTCGCACTGGCCATGTGACCACGGAAGATTGTCTTCGGACAAAACGCTGGCTCTACGGCTTGGAAATGGGGATAAGCACTGCGCCCTAGAGGTGGACACGACTGGACAAAAATTGTCAAGGGGAACCTTTACTTTTACCTTTTTATCAGATGGGGCTGAGGGTAGTTGAGTCTGAAGGGGGCGAGCAAATTGGCAGACAAGGCTTTCTTTCCGTTTTCTCAAGTTGAATGAAACAAACAAGAAGAGGGCTAGAGGTGCTTTGTGTTGTTTATTCGTTTAGTCGTGTCCGACTCTTCGTGGCCCCATGGATCAGAGCATGCCAGGCCCTCCTGTCTTCCACTGCCTCCTGGAGTTGGGTCAAATTCATGTTAGTAGCTTCGATGACACTGTCCAGCCATCTCATCCTCTGTCATCCCCCTTCTCCTCTTACCCTCACGCTAATAAAAGCAGACTAGCTTTTGGTAAGGAGCTCCCTGACTGAAAAGTTATGGCAGATTCTGAACTCCCTGCGAACGAACACACTGAATCTTTGTACCTTGTGCAAAATAATTTTTTTAACATTTTATGCCACCTTTTCCCAGAAAAAGGACTCAAGGGACTCACCCATTGTTAAATTGTAAATATGTCTCTTTAAAAAGAATAACCACTTGCCACCATATCCCTTGTCAAGCATTTTAAAAAAGACTTCACTTTCCCTTCTAGCACCAGCCATGGTTTATGCTTCTATTTAAGTCAGGGTTTGTTTATCTTAAGAAAACCCTTTAAAGCTTAAACATTATCGGCTTCAGCTGGTTTACCATCTCACCATGACTGAAAGCAGTATTATTAGTCTCTAAATTTTAAGGAGTGTGTAAATTAGAGGTTGCTCCCAATCTTTGTCACATGGCCAACCTCCCTTATTCACAGAGAGAGAGAGAGAGAGAGAGTGCCACCTGGCTCTGAGAGGAACAGGCTGTATCTGGTCCTCCAGATGCTGCTGGACCACTGACTTCCATCATCCCTATAACTCAGTCCATGGTGACAGATGACGGAAGCTTCAATCCATCAACGTTTGGAGGGCCACGATTTCCCAACTGCTGCCTTATAACGATGTTATCTGACACTCCTGAAGTGCAGTGAGGGCTCCCTAAGAAAGCTGATTGGCTTGAGTTCAAACCCTCACAAGGTGGGACATTGCTGTGCCTTTTCACAGACACAGACCACAGTACAAATAAGGACATCCAAGTTCTTTATGAGATGGAGCGGAAATTTCAAGTCAGGACCAAACATGTGTGGAAAGACAAGGGCCACAGGAAGCTGCCTTACACTGAGGCAAACTTTTTCGGCCATCTAGCCCAGGATGGTCAGCGCTGACCAGCTAAGACTACTAAGGAGATTCTGACCAAACATGTGTGGAAAGACAAGGGCCACTGGAAGCTGCCTTACGCTGAGGCAAACTTTTCGGCCATCTAGCCCAGGACGGTCAGCGCTGACCAGCTAAGACTATTGAGGAGATTCCTTTCAAGCCCGATCTGGATCTAGCACCAGAAAAGAGACTAATGACAAAATGAAGAAGGAGCAGTTAAGTCTCTGTTTAGCAGGACTTCAACATGGCAAGTCCTTAAAGGAAGAAGTGCAGTAGTTTTAGATGCCCTTAGCTTTCCTACTGTGTTTCCCCAAAAATAGGACAGGGTCTTATATTAATTTTCACTCAAAAATGCATTAGGGCTTATTTTTCAGGGGATGTTTTGATTTTTTTATGTACAACACTCTACATTTATTCAAATAGTCGTGTCATCTTCTGGTTGCTGCACAAGAGTGGAAGGGCAGGGTTTCACTTTACTGGGGCCTATTTTGGGGGTAGGTCTTATATTACGAGCATCCTGAAAAATCGTACTGGGGCTTATTGTCCGGTTAGGTCTTATTTTCGGGGGAAACAGGGTATTAGCTCTTCTACTCAGTTCCCATCCAGGTTATCTTGGATGCAATCTTTAGCAGCTGCTTCCTCTGACCTCCCTCAGTCTTGCTGCCATCACATCCCAATGTTTTATGGCTGCCAAAGAAGCTGGCTGAGAGCTTAAGTACATGCAGTCAATTAGCCTAATGCAACTATACAGTCCGATGGCTCCCTTGCCAGCACCTAGACTGAAATGCTACTCCAGTTATTTATGGTCCTCAAAGAAAACAGCCCCCTCCTCCCCATCATCACGACACTTTCTTTCAGGTGGCCAGGCAGTATTTCATTCTTATTTTCATCCAGGAGGTTCTTCTGCACAAATCTCTCCACCTAGAAATTGTGGACTCAGCTTATCGGCTGCTATGGTAACTCCTGGGTTACTCAAGGTTGGGGAGGAGTTTGTATATGCCTTAAATCTCTGCACTTGCTCTCCAGAGTGGGTGTCCCCACTCCACCTACATAACTTTCACACCTTCCTAACTAAACACCTCCACAATCACCTTAACAGTCCTTCCCCCACGCCCAATTGGTGGCTCAGACTTCACACTTTGTCTGGGGTCAAAGTAAGATGCAAATACATTTTAATCCATTTTAGCAGAGGGTTTTTTTTTTTAATTTAGTAAGACTCTCCTCCCCTGTCCAGTTCAGTGGGATTAGTTCTCAAGCCCTGTTCCCCAGACCTCTCAACAAGATGGTTACAAAAGGAAATAAAACAGGGAATTCAATGAACGAATCTGAGTCATTTCTAGGGTGGAATGTGCTGATCTTCCTAATGTGTAGGGACACAAGGACAACCTTACTTGTGGGGAAGGAGAGACAAAACTGCAAATGGAAAACAACTGGCCTGCAAGCGGCTAAAAGTGCACCGAGGAAGATAAAACAAAGCAGTTCGAATCCAGGATTAGAATCCCAGAAGATAATCCAGGAGAGAAGGAGGGGCTCTTTAAGCAAACATGCGCACACGCACGCACACATTCATGCACAAAGAGAGAGAGATTTCTTATCCTTTTTACCTCCTCTTCATCTGAACTCTCTACTTTCATTGATTTTCACTGCCCAAATATCCAATAATGGCTGGCAGGAAGAGACAAGCTGATGGGAACGCTGTCAGAACACGGACATTTGAAAACAGCATGTCCTAGTTTTGTAAACATGAAAGCGCCATTGACTCCTGAGGAGCTGCAAAGGGGTTGTGCTGAGGCACGACCTCTGCTGCCTGCCATGTTGGTAAACTGGTACAGGAGGGAAACGTCACATTGCCTTTGGAATTGGGGGGGCAGGAATTAGCTTTAAAATACAGTATATTCATTGTGTGGAACTGCATGTCTTTCAAAGGACACAAACAATCTTCCTTGCAATAACACGTACAGGCCCCTTCACCATCTCCACAGACACTTCCGAACAGTTGAAGCATCACTAAACATCGGGACGAGATTAAAAACCGTGGAGGAGCCAAAGATCTATTATATTTCAGCAGCACTGCACAAATGTGTACTGTATTACATAAAACTTGAAACTGACCCATTTCCTGTTTTTTTTTCTCCTAATTTATAGGCCCTTCATAAATCCGAGGCCCTAAATCGGGGGTGCCAAAGTGCAGCCTGTGGGCCACAAGGGATTCGCAATACCTTTTCTGAGGTCCCTACTTCCCCCCTCAACGAAAGTCTGGCAGCGGTGGAGCAAATTAAAATCTTGCCACAAAGCCAGGCACAAACCTCTTAAAACAAAACTGGAAATAGTATTCTGGGAAGGTGGGGTATCTTTTTTTAATCCTGTCTTTACTCCACAGAAATATGCACGATTGCTCCTGGTACGGTAAGTGAGGTTGACAGGTCCAGAACTGAACCACACTCCCCCAGCCCAGCAACAACCTTCTGCTCTTGAGTAGATTGCACGAGCTAGCTTTAGAAACCACATTTTCAAATATTTTACAGGAATACAATATTAAATATTTTGGTTAAGCCAGAGACAGACTGAGCAACAGAACAGCAAACGTCAACCGGCACAGATGCTCTGAAGAGAAATATCTGTTCACTTCAGTCTCGTATACAGACACACCACTCACACATTTCTAGAAATAGACTAAATAAGCAAAGGCATTTTAATAGACTCAAACAGGAACGCAGATTGAAACATTCTTACCTCTGTGCATTATCTTATGTTTTTCTCTCAAATATGTTAGACCTTTTATGACCTGCAACCCAAAACAGAACTTTAATCAAAACAATAATATTGGAAATGAAACATCAGTTCAAGGAAACTGTAATATTTCTCTTCAGTTGGAGGAGATATTCTTTTGGACAGACTGTCCTGCTTTGCTTTACTTATACATATGGATGATGATGCACAGAGAACTCTGGAATCGTGGTGGAGATGGGGAATGATTTGGTTGCACTTTATTATTATTACTACACCCAAAATATCACTTTTCAAAAGAAAAAGGTAACAGTACTTGCCTGGAAACACACACACACACACACACACCCCACCACCACCACCACCACACAAAAATGACCTCGTGTGTTCCTAAATTTTTTGGAGACTGGAGGGTTATTGGGCTGGTGATATCAGAGGCAAGACAAATACGCAGAGGAAAGAAAGGCCCCTTGTTGTCTTCCTCTCCTTTTCAAGCCCCATTTAAGCTGAATCACGAGTCTGGAGCAGGAATGAGATCCAGTTCTCAGTGGATCCCTGCAATGGCTGCTAAAAGCAGGATTTGCTATGATCAGCAAATGTCTCCCAACCCTTCATGGGCTGCATCTCCTACATAAAGCTGAAGATCTATTCAAAATGGAAAGCCAATGCATTCACCAAAGCACCGTCAGGTAAGCCCACTGCATTCTGTTTGGTCTCAAGGAAAAATTTTTTCCAGCTGTCTCTGCCTTCGGGCATGACCTCCTGATGCCAACTGTATTTGAATGCCTCTTTCTGAACGCCAAAGCAATATACTTACAGCAATGCTAACTTTGCCCAGAATCTGTTCCGGGATTCTGCCAGCCTTTTTCAGGACTTGATCCAAGGAGCCACCATCCTGATCAAAAGGGAAACGTTTTAAAATTCAGTGCATTCGTTGCATTTATCCTCAAAGCGTCAAAAGCCTGATGAAAGGGGTGGGGTGGGTGGGGAGAGACAGCATCTTGATATCTGACCACAGAAAATGAATGGCTGGGCTGCGCCTGTGAGGAACTCAATAGCAAACAGTGGAGATCTAAGTGCAGAGTGAGAGAAACCTTTTGTCTTTTAACACCAAATTGACCACTGGAGTACATGTGTTCCAAGATGACCTGGTCCCTAACTTAGAGGCTGTTCTAAAAGTACAGGCTTTAGAGGTGCCATCTTGTCATTCTTCTCTGAACAGATTCAGTTTCTCTCCCTCAGGGATGTTAATAGGATTCTGGGATGTGTGTTCTCACCTGCAGTCTGGATCTTTAAAGCTTGAGGCCTGCTCAGAGAAAGTGAGACTTCCTGTGACCATCATTAACATGTCATTGTCAGAGACTGTCTTCCCAGAGGTCTTGAAAACAGCAATTATAACACTTCTATTACCTACAATGGAAAAGACCTCTGGTAAAGAAGCCTACAATGGAAAGGACTACAGTGGGGGCTTGACTTGAGAACTTAATCCGTATTGGAAGGCGGTTCTCAAGTCAAAAAGTCTGTAAGTCAAGCCGTCTGTAAGTCAAGGGTCCACTGTTGTTATTTGGGTAAGGTTGTTGAAAAGGTGGTCGCTGAGTAACTTCACAGACAACTACAGAGTGCATTCTTTCCAGTCCAACTTCTGACCTAGCTATGCTACTGAGGCAATTTTGGTGGCCCTGGTGGATTCTCTCTTTTGCTATCTGGCCAAGGGAAGAGTCATCCTTGCTAATACTGTCAGATCTCTCAGCAGCCTCTGATATCGGGGAACATTGTCTTGCTGAGGAGACTGGAGAGAGCCCTGAGTTTTGCTAGACCAGTACAGTGGTGCCTCGCTTAACGAGCGCACCGCAGAACGACGAATCCGCATAGCGAGGGGGGTTTTTCGATCGCAACTGTGATCGCAAAGCGATGGCCCTAATGGGCGAAGCTCGCATAGCGAAGGTTGGTAAGCATTTCGCTTACCGACCTTCGCTTTGTGACCCGCAGATCAGCTGTTCGGCGGCTCCAAAATGGCCGCCGGAAGCCCCAAAATGGCTGACCTAGCTATGCCACTGAGACAACTTTGGTGGCCCTGGTGGATTCTCTCTTTTGCTGTCTGGTCAAGGGAAGAGTCATCCTTGCTAATACTGTCAGATCTCTCAGCAGCCTCTGATATCGGGGAACATTGTCTTGCTGAGGAGACTGGAGAGAGCCATGAGTTTTGCTAGACCAGTATTGCTTTGCCAAACCCCACAGAACACTTGAGGAGACAATCGCTGAACGGTGAGTTTTCTTGATCCATTCAGCGATGTTTTCACATAGCGAGGGTTAATCCGAAATGGATTAACCTCGCTATGCGAGGCACCACTGTATTGCCTTGCTAAACCCCACAGAACACGCAGTCTGAGGAGACACGACCTCAACCGTGTGACTGCCTCAGCCTTCTTCAGTTGGAAGACTACTGGGCCGCAGGGCAGATGATGGTGCACCAAGAGAAGCTCTATTTTGTCCCAGATAACCAGCTTCAAAGGAACTCAAAGCTGGCAAAGCCTGGAATAAGTATTTTATCAGGGTGGTGTTATTCTCATAGACCAGTTTTGTGCCCCCAAGGGTGAGCCTTCTCCTGCGTAACTGACACACTGCTGCCTCATCTAGTCTTTATGATACATGCCAGCGGAGGATGATGATCTAGGATCAGATCCTGGGTGTTTAAAGTTGTTCCATGAACTAACCTGTCATTCAACAGTTTGACTTAGAAAGCTCCATATAGCGCATCGTTCACTGACAAGTGCATTATCAGTGTCTACGATCTTGAATAATAAGTCCTAATCTGACAGGTCTCAATCACCAAGATGGGCAAGGATCCAGAGGACAGGGATAGAGGCCCAATTTCCTAGAAGGTTTCCAACCTCACTAGGTTTTACAGGCAGAAATATATCCAACGCAACATGACTAAATAGCACAGGGATAGAGGCCCAATTTCCTAGAAGGTTTCCAACCTCACTAGGTTTTACAGGCAGAAATATATCCAACGCAACATGACTAAACAGCATCCTGCACATCTCTCACTGACTCTGTAAAAAATATGGCAACCAGTCTAGAAAGAGAGGAACTAATTCTGAAGAATGTAATGTGAATTGATTGCAGTGAGCTTCTGAGGCCCCACAGTTATGTATGATGTCTGGAATGCTCTGTGCCAGGCAAACAATCTCACCATTCAGCGCACAATGATATGCATTACTAAGTTGGAATGAGATGTTCAAGCCCAACCAATTTGCTTCTTCTAGGCAGGATTTTATTCTTGAATGTTAAGATAAATAAAGGAATGCAGGAACTGTTTGTATCTCATACATGATCCACGACTTCAGGAAAACTGCAATACAGTAAAAATCGGAACTTATTTATTTTCCTTTCCGTGAAAAAATTAAAATGTAGTCTTTTTTTCCTGTTTTTTAACAGAGGTGAGCATTGTTTAAAGGCTGTTCTTGATTTTAAATGGCTGTCTTTTATGAAGAATAAATGTGGCATACACCATTTCCCCTCTTCTGATGCTCTTAGCAACAGCAGTATTATATTTAACTTGGAAGGGGTGTGTTTGCTTTCTATAACACATTAAATAAGGCCTTGATAAGCCAAGAGAGTTATTTATTCTTATTTACTGGATTTACTCAGCAGAGTCCCCCCTTCATTGTGAATGAGCAGGATGTGAGACAGACTATGAAAGTGGTTAACTCCAGAAAAGCAGCTGGACCCGACTTAATTCCTGGTCGGGTGGTAAAAGACTGTGCTGATCAGCTAGCCGGGATATGGACTGTAATTTTTAATAGATCCCTGACACTATGCGCAGTTCCCGTCTGTCTCAAGGCTTCCGTCATCGTTCCACTGCCTAAAAAGTTGCCTACAAACAGTCCGAATGACTACAGGCCGGTGGCACTAACTTCAATCTTAATGAAGTGCTTTGAGCAGTTAGTTCGGAAATATATTATCTCCTGCCTTCCTCATCCCTTTGATGGGCTTCAGTTTGCTTATAAAGAAAATAGATCAACCGAGGATGCGATCAATACTGTGCTTCATATGGCTTTATCCCACTTGGAAACACAAGGGAATTATGTAAGAATGCTGTTCGCGGACTTTAGCTCTGCTTTTAACACCATTATACCCCACAGATTAATAGACAAACTTAAAGATCTTGATTTTCCAGATTCTATCTGTCTGTGGATTTTGGATTTTTTAACAAATCGTCCACAAAGGGTTAAACTGAATGACTACATCTCTACTGACAAGATACTCAGCACTGGCACTCCACAAGGCTGTGTCCTTAGTCCACTACTGTTCTCCATTTATTCATCGGATTGCACCAATAACCATCCCAGTAATAGGATTATCAAATTTGCAGACGATACTACACTAGTAGGACTTATCTCTGGTGATGATGAGTCTGCGTATCGGGACGAGGTATTACAGCTATCCCGCTGGTGCAAAAAAACCAATCTTTTATTTAACATCCAAAAAACCAAGGAATTCATAGTGGACTATAGGAAAAAAAGAGCAGACATTCAGCCACTGTATATAGATGGAGTTTGTGTGGAACAGGTGGTTGAATGTAAGTTTCTTGGGACTATCATAACAAATGACCTGACTTGGAGTGCAAACACCGCTGCGTTAATCAGGAAGGCACAACAACGGTTGTATTTTCTAAGGATTCTTAGAAAGCAACAATTGATTGAGAGTTTGTTAATCACCTTCTATCGGAGTTCGATTGAGAGCATATTATCCTACTGTCTCTGTGTATGGTTCACGAGCTGCACAGTGGCAGAGAAAAAGGCAATTCAAAGGGTGATTAAGACGGCCCAAAACATCATTGGCTGTTCACTCCCCTCTTTGGAAGAATTGTATAAGAACAGATGTAAGAGGAAGATATCTAACATACTGAAAGACTCCTCTCATCCGGGATATCAGCTCTTTAAACTATTACCATCAGGAAGGAGATTCAGGGTATTGAAAGCAAGGACGAGCAGATTCAAGAACAGTTTTTACCCAAGTGCAGTATTGAGTTTAAATGCGGGGCCATAAGTTTTTGGTGGACTTTTTAATTGCTGAGAGAAAACGGGGTATCTATATTTGGATGGTGAAAGTTGTGTATATTTTAACTTTTTTTTTTTGTAGTGTTGTCCAGTTTTACCTTGGGGAAGAGCACCTCATTTCGTTGCACCCACTTGTGAGCGCAATGACAAATAAATTTCTTATGTCTTATGTCTTATGTCTTATCCTGCACATCTCTCACTGACTCTGTAAAAAATATGGCAACCAGTCTAGAAAGAGAGGAACTAATTCTGAAGAATGTAATGTGAATTGATTGCAGTGAGCTTCTGAGGCCCCACAGTTATGTATGATGTCTGATCCTGCACATCTCTCACTGACTCTGTAAAAAATATGGCAACCAGTCTAGAAAGAGAGGAACTAATTCTGAAGAATGTAATGTGAATTGATTGCAGTGAGCTTCTGAGGCCCCACAGTTATGTATGATGTCTGGAATGCTCTGTGCCAGGCAAACAATCTCACCATTCAGCGCACAATGATATGCATTACTAAGTTGGAATGAGATGTTCAAGCCCAACCAATTTGCTTCTTCTAGGCAGGATTTTATTCTTGAATGTTAAGATAAATAAAGGAATGCAGGAACTGTTTGTATCTCATACATGATCCACGACTTCAGGAAAACTGCAATACAGTAAAAATCGGAACTTATTTATTTTCCTTTCCGTGAAAAAATTAAAATGTAGTCTTTTTTTCCTGTTTTTTAACAGAGGTGAGCATTGTTTAAAGGCTGTTCTTGATTTTAAATGGTTGTCTTTTATGAAGAATAAATGTGGCATACACCATTTCCCCTCTTCTGATGCTCTTAGCAACAGC